GCCGTCTGCCTTTCGAAATTTTGCAAGAACTGGTGTAATCGACCCTTCCAGCAAGTATCTCTACAGCATTTCCTAAACTGACTAGTTTCTTCCCTTTCTTGTCGACTGTTTTCAATACCTTTTCTGCATTGGTCGTGTCAAAAGGATCGTCCCCAGCTGCTTCTTCGGTGGGACTATCAGGAAGGTAAGCTAGTGAAATCTCGAAATTCTGGAGAATTTCGGCGTAGGTAGTATCAAAGATGTCATCTTCAGCTGAGTATTCAGGTTCGTCTTCATCGTCTGGAACTTCAACTAAACCGTCTTCCCGACTCTTCTCCTTATCCTTCTTAGCGTCTGGCGGTTCACCCTCAGTAGGATTCCCTTCCTCGTCGAAACCTACCCACTTTGAGGAGGTGGACTTTTTACTTTTTACCTCTTCTTGCTCTTCGCTCTCTTCTTCCTCTTCTTCTTTTTTCTTCTGTTCGCCTAATGGCGGTTTGCGTTGGAAGAACGAAGTGGACTTTATACGATCTAGATCACCTTGGGTTTTCTTAAGGATCGAGTCGACACCAGCGGTCAAAGCCTCGAATTTCTTCCACTCGTCAGAGCTGGCGTTGCTAGCTCCCTGGCTTTCGTCGGATTGCTCAGCTTTTTGCTGGGCCTCCGCCCGCTCGCGCCTATAACGCTCGAGCTCCTCCGGGTCGAACTCGTCTTCCTCCTCCCCCTTCTTGCCCTTCTTCTGCTTTTTCTTCTTTTTCAGGCCCTTGACTAGCTTGTGCATCCTCTAAGAGCTACCGTGGAACAAGCGAGGCCTCTGCAAACAATCATTTCCAATTCCAGTTACTATCTTACTAATCATTTTTCACCTATGAACCCTTTCTTTTTCTTTTACACGGACAAGCTAGGACAAAAGCTTCGTGATCGTTCATTATTTAGTAGTGCTGCGAGTGCAAATTCTTACTTACAACAAGTTAACCCTTGTACGGGTATTTTCATCTAAAATCGAGTTAACAATGATTAATAATAATTGAAAAGAACAAACAAATTTTTACTCGTTTCTTTCACCAGTTAAAAATATCGAGAAACGAATCTAACAAGATTACGTTGCAAATCTTTCAAAATTACGTAAAAATTGTTCTCTATGCCTATAAACAAACAATGTAAACGAAATTTAAATTGAAATTTACCTAAAAGTGGTATGTAGTTTTACAAATTCCGTACAGGGGTTAAAGTGTACATTATCAGCTATACGAGTTTTCAAAAAGACTCTGCTGAATCACAGACGATCTGAATATTAGTCTTCTCAGGATAAAACGTAAGTAGAAGTGAATGAAAAATGGTGTCCACTCGAATGGCTGACAATGTTTCAGCTAATGATCTATAAAGAAGGAAGATACTGGTGTTTAAGTGTTTCTACAGACTCTATGCTCATCTCTAGACTTCCATCGAGCTCTCGCCGGAAGTTCCAAGTGTGAAGTAGAGTGCAGAATATCTGGTATATGTACGACATGCGTACGAAACGCGAGTGCTCCCACGCCACTTTGTCGAATCCTCGAATACTTGTTGCACACTACCGATCTTTATTTAGCCGGTCACTCTGTAGAATCGCCGTGCTAATTCCGTCGGAATCTTTTTTAAACGCGTGCACACCGCGATGCACTTTACCATCCTTCTGCGTCGATATCTCGGGAAGAATTTTGCGAATCTCCTTTCTTCACTGATTCAGAGAAACTCGTTTGATAGCCTGACTACGATACTGGTAGTATTTCGTTTGAAAATGCCAAAGAAAGAACAATCGTTTTTCTTTCTGGTGAGAATAAAGCGGTGGTTATCTGGAATTTCTCTATTGACGCGATACAAATCGTCTTCATTTTGGACGTCGCGTATACGCGTAGTGGGATCGTTGCCAGAATTGTCTGATCGATAAACAGTACCGTACCTATTTTTCCCTTTCGTGGAACTTTTATAAAGACAGAATTGGCGTGCAAGTGCTCTTTCTTTTATTTTTTATTGTCTACGGTTAAATTGACTGCTTCTTTAAGTCACATAGCAGATATATGTACAGTAGTGATTGGAGGTTTGCAAACGTTTGGAAATTAGATTCGTATGGACAACTGTAACCAAGTTGTGCAACACTCGAATACGCCACCCCTCCCTGGAGCGACTATACGAAGATCCCTATAGATAATAAGAAGCTTAAAGTCTTACGCGATGGGCGTATTTAGCATATTAATCCCCTACGAATGGGGAATTTAATTAACACCAGAAACGCAGACATACAATCGCTCTTTCAGATACGTTCAAATACATTACCATTCTTTCTATTGTCAGTTACCAAAGAAAATAAATGAGAATGGGGGAAAAATGAAAAACGACGGCTTGAATTAGAAGAATATCGTTCCAAACTTCGACTGTTTCATTAGTACCAATAAAACACTTTGTATTAATATGTACGATAACCTTTAGAGACTTGAACTGAAAATTAGCTGGCCAGTCAAAGTGTTAAAGCGTCAGAAGCAACGGTGGCAGGTTAAACGACGGAAAGGGGACACCAGTAGCGTGTACGAAAGAGAATTTCGTCGATAATTGGGGGGAGCACGTGCTCCAGATTACTGCAGGCTGGCCGTGTCGGGTTGGTGTGCTAGCATACTCGTTGACTATCGTACCGCCCACCCCAACTGAACTGATACGGTCACCAGTACACCTGCATGCACACCAGGATGCTATAATCGATAACGCCGGAGGAATCGGTCGAGTTCTCGCCAATCTCACCTACCTTCCACTTCTCCGGAGAACCGATTCTCTCTTTTGGCTCGATGGAACGGAAGATATGTGAGTTAGATGGAGGCTTTTCAAAGTGTATATAGAACTTGAAATGAAGTTTCTTTTCTCTTTGCATGGCATTTTCCCAGGAAAAATTTG